AAGGGGTCAGGGTCTTGGAATAGACCTCAACAGTTGTTTACTCACTCTAAATAATTAATAAAATCATTTCTGATCAGCCTTACTTTTTTTTTGGAATAATTCAGAGAAAAATGTCACATATTTGACAAACCGCTTCATCACAATTACAATGTAGTATGTGCTCAGTATCTAGTTGTTGTTGTTGTTATTTGACATTTAAAATTTGGAGTTTCACTACATGTCAAGCTTTTTTCAAATACAATTCTTTGAATATTTTGATAACGACTCCGAAAAATGAATCGATTTTGATTGAGCAGATATATCATTGGTTTCGGACCTATAGTCTTAGTAACTCAAAACGCTAAAAATGTCAGATAGAACTTAGTAAACCTAAGGTAGCGAAATATTTCCACATATGACAGCTTCCACAATTCCTTTTCTAGCACTATGCGACACAATGTGACACTACAGTTACAAGTACAGCAATTATGACCGTCATTTATCTTCGCGAGATAAGATCCAAACAAGGCTCTTACTATTGTCTACAGTAAATAGAATCTCATACTTGAAGGTCACGACGTGTCATGCTGGAAACGAACTTAGGAGAACAAACAGGAAATGAAATAAAGGAAGGTTTTACAGGAAAGTACTGAGTATCTTTTTTTTTTTTAAAGACCCAATTTGATTTTCATGAATTCTTGCATTTGGCTTAACACCTTTTATATCCATTTTAGAATACGTTTCTGTTTGGATTTTACTGTACTGAAACGGCCTGATTAAAAGCTCAAAAAGTAGATTTTCATTTTTTTAAAGATTTTCAACCTTTGGAAATTATCAAACTTTGGCGGCCATTTTCTCACTAATTTCATCTCCAAAACCAGTGACCCCCACCTCATTCAATCGCAAATTTTTTAATTTTTTTTTCAAGATAGATGAGTCTTTTTTCAACCAAAGATAGGCAAATGAACAGGTTTTAAAATGATACCAATAACTTCTCATGTCAAAAAAATTGACGACCGCCTAATTCCACCGCATCGTGACACATATTACACTCTCTCCTATCTTTTCACAGGTGATCGAGTCGCTATAGAGCCCAACCAGCCGTGTGGCAACTGTGGTTTGTGCAAAAATGGCCGCTACAATCTTTGCGAGAAGCTGAAGTACTTGGCAACACCGCCCACCCATGGTTGTCTGGCACGATATTACTGTCATCCAGCAAACTTTGTCTACAAGTAAGGAGAGCTCTTAATCTCATGCGTTTTGAAATCGAATGACCAACTTCTGTAAGGAAATATAGTATAGTATTATTACTATTAATCCCTCTTTTTCAGTTTTCATATGATCTGCTTGTTTCCTCTCATTAACTGTTTTTCCTTTTGTCTTTCTTTCTATCCTACTTCTCAGATTGCGTATTTCTTTGTCTATTTTTCTCGCTTTCTTTTGTTTTGTTTATTGTGGTTTGGGGGGGGGGGGGGGTTCGAAAGAGGCCGGGGTATTTTGGGTTTTTTTTTAATGTTGGATTTGTTTTTTGGTTCTTGTCTCGTACATCATTTGTCTGCACGTCTAGAAACCCTTTCCTTCCTTTATCTTTGTTTGTTTGTTGGTTTTTGAATTTTTTGAGTGGTAGATTTTCCTGGTTGGTTTGTTTATTGGTTTGTTCCTGTTTTGTTTTTTTTTAAATAAAGCTGTCGTTGCATCTTTTTATTTAATGAGATTGTTCCTGTACTTTCTGGGATCGTTGAGGAGGCACATGCAACAGTGTATATGTCATATCTTTATCCCCCGTTGTTCTTCCTGTTGTTTGAGGCAATGATAAATGCTAAGATGAATAACGGAAACAGAAAATATCGTGAAAATCGGAATATTTCTTTTATTTGAACTTCATGTATTTAAATTTTCTGTTCCACGGCTTCATAATCCACTTCTAGAGAGATAGAAGGGTGAACTTAGGGTGTCAGGAAGAAAGACACGTACAGGCAGGCTAATACAGAAAGAGAGAGAGAGAGAGAGAGAGAGAGAGAGAGAGAGAGAGAGAGAGAACGAGATAGAGAGAGAGTGAAAGAGAGGGGAGAAAGAGGAGAGAGAGAGAGAGAGAGAGAGAGAGAGAGAGAGAGAGAGAGAGAGAGAGAGAGAGATCTCATTAGTGGAAGAGAGATTAGCATCTTAAGAACAAGCAGAGATTAAATACAGGCTTCTAAAAAAGCTATGTAATCATGTTTGGCTTAGCTGATTGAAATTGATTCCTCCTATATTAAATCAACAGGAGTAAAGAATACAAAATTCAGGCCCTGTGGGGAATCGGATTTCTATAATTATTTCTAGAGAGAAAATATAATATTTGAGAGTTAAAATTCGATGAATAGGTTTTTGTCATTCATGAGGATATACGGCTTTTCTGCTGTTGTAAAAGGGAGTGGAGTGGGGAGAAGAAACGTTTATTATAGAGGCAAATATCGCTGACACTTTGTTGACTGTGACATTTGCTTTTTTAGTTTAGTTTTAGTAAGAGTTTTACGGCACTCGCAACTGCATAAGGTCATATCAGCGCCAGTATTTGTTTTTTTTAAAGATTATTTTTGGTTTACTTTTTAGATAGATAGATAGATAGATAGATAGATAGATAGATAGATAGATAGATAGATAGATAGATAGATAGATAGATAA